CACGCGCCCCGCCGCGGCGCGAAGCGCACGCGGGCGGCCCGCTCCTCCGCGCGCGCGCGCGCGCTCCACCTGCGAACACGGCGCGCGACGGCCCCATCCTCCCACCCATTCCCCCAACCCATACCCCGTCCCCCGACCCCAGAAAGTGTAACGGTGCTCCGGGGGTGCAGAACGACCTTGGGGTGACCAAACCCCCCGAATGGAACACCTGCGTGAAGAAGGCAAGACCCTGGCGTGGCTCGCCAGTAATGCCGCTCTCCCCACGGGGAAAGCGAACACTGCCGGCGTCCGGCGCCGCCCTCGCCGACCCGAGCACCCCACCGGGGGTCGGGATACGGCGGGCGTGTTCGCGCGCGCAAAACATGTCGCGCACCTGTCAGACGTTACACCTGGTGATGCGACCGCTGCCAGCGGCCACCAGGGAAGGAAGGCCCCCTCCCCGCACGCGCTGACCTGCGCGGCGTTCTCGCACCTGCGACGCACACGTTCGGCCGACCCGAGGCAGGACCCCTCGCAGCCGGTGCGCATCGCCTCTTGCACGGCGAAGTCCACGCCGGCGCCCATCCCAAATTCTCCCCGGTAACCCCACCGGGGCCCAGGGTGTGGTGGGTGGGAAACAAACCAACAGCAACCGCTGTCGCCAACGCGCTTTGCTCGCACGATCCAATTGCGCGCTCTGATGCGCGCAGTCCCTGCGAGCGCGCGCGGGCGTCCCCTTCTGTCATGATTATGGTTCCCTGACCCGAGCCTCCCCGAGCCTAAAGTCAACGCATAATCACCGACAGCCTATTCCCCGCGCCGCGCCCTGCGCGGCCCCTGGCAACTTTCGCGCGCCGCGCATCGCACGCGCCCCGCCGCGGCGCGAAGCGCACGCGGGCGGCCCGCTCCTCCGCGCGCGCGCGCGCTCCACCTGCGAACACGGCGCGCGACGGCCCCATCCTCCCACCCATTCCCCCAACCCAAACCCCGTCCCCCGACCCCAGAAAGTGCAACGGTGCTCCGGGGGTGCAGAACGACCGTGGGGTGACCAAACCCCCCGAATGGAACACCTGCGTGAAGAAGGCAAGACCCTGGCGTGGCTCGCCAGTAATGCCGCTCTCCCCAACGCTGCTCTGGCTCAGCGTTTCTGCACCCCCAACGCTGTTCTGGGTCCGACGCCGCTCCGCAATCGCGCGTCGATGTACACGGCGCCCCGTGTCTGAGGCATGCCCGTGCCCCGCGGCTGGGCCCGCGCTCACCTCTCCTGCGCGGACTCCTTCTTTACGGCGAATCCACTGAGACTGGCGCGGCACGCTGCACGCCGCGGCCCACCCCCCGCGAATTGCCCTCGCGGAACGCGCCTTCCGCGCGCCGTAGCACCCAACGCCACGCGTCTAGTAAGCACCCGCGCCACGCGGCCGGGTCCACTCTCACCTCGCCGGTACGAAAACCATTCTCCCGGGCGAAGCTATCCTCGCCGAGCCGCCTGGCACCGCGCGAGTGGCCGACTCGGGGGAAGGCCGCCCCCGCGCGCGCACGGCGCGCCGTGAGATCCCGTCCGACCAGTTGCTTTTCGAGTCTACCCACTCGAGCCAGGTGGACATGTCGCAGTGAAACTGGCGCGACACGCTGCACGGCGCGTCCCCCCGCGATTTGCCCTCGCGGCGCGCGCCATGAAGAAATTCATAAGCTTGACGCTCGGGTCCAGGGTAGCATGGTCGCACCTGCCACTCACGAAGCTGTGGAGAGCGCTCGTGTTGTCAGGCACCCACAGGATGCGCCTCCCTCGGCACCTCCGCGCCTCTTGCGCCAGGACAATGGGGACCATGGCCCCCTCACAGAGGGCGATCGGATTCGCGCCCCTCTCCCGGTCCGCCGGCGAGAAACCCCACTCCGCGAGTATGGCATCGTCGAATACACACCATCCTCCCACACGCTCCCCTGTCAAGCAATCAACCAGGAAGTAGCCGCCTGTGGGCGCGGTCGCCC